CCACAATCTTTTTTTTGTATGCTTTACGCATGCACGTAATGCGTTTACGCATGCGTGTTTAATGTATAATGGACCGTATAAGCTAGGCTAAAATTATCTTTACAGATTCAAAGGCATTTCAGTTAATGTTGCAGATTGCACTGTTCCTTAATCTTCTAATTGGATCCGGCTTATTATTTTTTGCAGACTGTTAGAGCAATTTTATAAAAATTAAGCTCCAGATATGTTAAAAAACGCTTGGCATAATTTAACGTCAGCTACCATATTTCATGGTGAGGACGATAAAGATGATAGCTGCGAATTTGAAGGTTTTCGGACATCACAAACTAAAGCTGAAATTTTCCAGTTATTGGATTTTGTAAAGAAATGTGGAGAAACGGTAATAAATGAAAATGATATAACAAAGGTTTTTCATTGCAATGACAATGCCCGAATCATCAATGTATTAACAGATGGCGAAATCTGTAGTATTGTTTTAGATCCAGAAAATATCACTTCCCTTGACACAGCAATTACAGGACTTGAACAGTGGAACTTTGTAACTGAACAAGAAATTATATTCTGTTTATAGAAGTAAAGAGAAAGTATTAGCACGAAAAACGAAACAACTTACATTGAAAGACATGTTTAATAAAGTAAACAAATAAATATTAAGCTTTTTTTTAAAATTTTGATACCCTTTAGATCATAATTTGCTCTTTATTTCATAAATTACGGTTTCATATTTTTAATTGTATAATTTCTGCATGCCATCTTACCAGATTTAAATTGATGACCTATAATCCAGAAGAATCCCTAATCCGGAATCACGAAGTCCCGACGAGTACAGATGACGGACTTTGTACTGTATTATATTGTTTTCTGGAAGGAGGGGTTAAAGGAACAAATAAAAGAAAAAAGAATATGTAAATGATTATACTTATGTTTAATATTACTATATTCCATATTTCAAAGATGTTTATTTTGATTATCATTTTGTGTACTTTTTTTTAAATAATGTAATTTGCTAGAGATTAAAAATATAGCTAAATACACGTATTAACATGTTTTTGGTGACAAAGCATTTTTGTTATAGAAACACTCTTTACAAATAAAAATAACTGCATTTTGCAAGGGGAAAGGGTAATGTAAAAATAGGTTGTTTTTCCCTAAATGTTATCAAAAATAATTTATGCTTGCTAACGAATATAAAATTTCTATAGCTTAAAGAACCTCCCATAAATGTGGATATTTTTATAGTATTTAGTTATTGAAAGTTTCCATCCTTTGTTATTCGAGAAATTAAGAATTAGTTTTTTTCTTAATTGAGAGTTATGCAAAGCAGATTAGATAAAAGTATGTTGCGTAATCAGTATTCAAGATAATTTAATTTTTCCTGAATAGTGATTATATATACAGCACCATTCTTGTTTCCCTGTTTCAAGAATTAGTTCTAAATAATATGCATTTTCACTTTCATTATCAATTCACTGAAGATATTAAATGAAGACTCGGGGAAAAAGCCATTTATGTCCATATTTTTGTGAAAATTGAAGTAATATTTCCATCTAGTTGGTAATAGGAATATCTTCTACATTGTCAATCATTTCAGGAGGAAAATGTATTCATATCAATAACTATATTTACATACTGGTAAAAAACAATTTTTGTCCATGTCAAGGGAGATGAAGCATTTATGCCCAATTTCGTTTATCAGGCTTAATTATGTTCATTCTATTCTCTTGTAACAATGACCTGCCGGTTTCATCCATCCTTCATTAGTGCTTATAAACATGAACATAAGAGTGGTGATTACAGTGTAAGCTGTGATTCAGTGGCCGAGTTTTCCAAGAAGAAGAGAAAACAGGGAAAATCTGTGATGTGAAAGTTTTAAGAGAAACCACTCGTGAATTAGACCTGACTGTAAGGGCAAACATTTTCAGTTTTTTCTTCAATATTTGATAGTGAAAAGCCATGAACTCTCAAAGCTTTTAATGAACTTAAGAATTATAATATCCAAAATAATTACCTTGCCTATCTTATAATTATTTTAACTGTGATATGCTGCTCTTTTCATTTGAGAAATGAGAGATCGTCACACAATGCATCTTACTTTTATTGCATATGTTGTTTCCAAGATTAGCAATGTAACGATTTGCAATTTTGCATACCTGCCTTTGGTTCATTCCACGGCATTTCAAAAACTGGGTTAAAAAATTAAGAGCCATTTTGTCTGTTGATGGAAAAGCACCAGTAGATCACAGAGAAAAATGTATAAACTGAAAATGTTATATCGAAGAAACTATTTCTAAAATAATCGAATTTATCAACTTGTTCAAGGGTTGAAAGTCTAATCACGTTTCTATTCAAGTTTACTATTGGATTCAGTAACCCCCCCCAAAAGGGCATTTGTAGTCTTTGTGATACATTAAGTGCAGAGATTGATATGCTTACCAGGAAATCAGAAAAACTTGCTGAAGGACAAGAGAAACCAAAACTCATTCAAGACCTGAAAAATAAAATGATGCAAAAGAACTTCATTTGAGGAACAGCCAGTTATAGCAACGAGGAAGATTTGTGTTCCCAAGATTAACAGAAGAAAGCTAGGAAAAAAAAAAGGTTTTAGTTGCCTAAAAATTTGAAAATTTGTCTTTCCAATTTAAAAATTAAACATTTATGTATCTCCAGTTTTGTGTATTTTCTATTTTATTATACAAATTTTGTTAAATAAAGGTTGAAAGTTTATTACAAGTTTTTATAAAGATTTTTAACAATATTTTCATTATCATTAAGTTATACAAAGTAAAATTTTGTTTTTCTCAGAATTCCTGTCAACGGACAAAAATTGTTTTTCTTTTTGTGTCTTTAAATGTTTCTACCCAAATTCTGGCCAAACGTCTTGTTCTTATATTTGTCTTGGTCAGTGTCTTTCTCAGTGAATCTTCACTTCAAAAAGTATTGGAATTCATAATGATGAAGCACCTTATTTAAAGTGTTCAAATAAGCTATCTTTTTCATTCTCCATAAACTACATTTACAGTAAATTTTAAAGTATTATTTACCAATGTTTTGAACAGTGTTTCAGCAAAGTAAATCATGACTTGTTTTTGCTTCTGTGTGAGAGTTCAGTGTTTATGATTTGTCCAGTTTTAGAATACATAGAACAAGTTAGTTTTTAGTCTTTTTATATTATGTATTATGTAAACAGAATTACTGAAAATGTTGTAAAGTGCTTACTGTAATGAAGTGTAATTTGCATTTCTCATTGAAAAAACAGCAGTTTTTATTCCTTTTTACCTGTCCCCAAGAAAGACTGCTTTAATAAATCAGAGATTTATCTACAGAACTCATTTTTTTTTCCCCTGTGTGTGCTAGATAGTAAAATCTTTTACAGTATTTATTAAAAGAGTTTTAGCATAATGAATATTTCAGAAAAAGTACATTTAATATGAAAACTATTAAACTTGCTTAAAGTAATGGATGATTCAGTTTGTAAGTTTATATTATAAGTATGAAAAGGAAGCTAGTTCAAAGGTTATTTTTAGGAAAAGAAAATAAACTGTGTGAATTGAGCTATATCTATCTATATATATGTAAGTGTGTGTGCTGAGAGTGTTTCAATAAAGGCACATATAAAGTATATATTTTACACCAGAAAAGTAGTTTTAATTTTAGTGTATTGATACAGTAAAATTTTTACCATATATTTTTTATCAGATGCTCGCCCACTATTAGCTGAGCTGTAAAATCACTGAATATTGTTAGTTGCACTGGGTTTGATTCCAGATGAATGGGCTAGCTGCATAAGCATTTTCATGGTTTTCCATGTGTGTAATGTGTAAACGAGCCAATTTCCCTTAGAAAGACCTCTATGAAGCAATCCCTCCCTTTAAGCAAATAGCCCTAATAGGCTTTGCCTTAATCGACTAAACTTTATTAGATACTTGCTAAATATTTTGTCATTAAAAAATACAAGACACTACTAAGTCTTTAATTTCATTTTATGATTGAAGTATACATGCTATAGCTGCAAAATAGTTCATCTGTAATTTTAGATTTTAATTTTGTGTAATTAATTCTTAAGACATCTTTACAAAATATACTCAATTCTGTAGCAAGTTAAAGAGGAATATTAATTATTCTGAATGTAACTTTTTTAATTCTTGAAATCATCATAATTACTAGGTATAAAAGTTCAAAGACAGAATAAGAATATTATATATAAACCTTGTGCAGATATCCTCCATCCCTTTGATTTTTTAATTTTTCAATTCTTTGAAGTTTAAAAAAACATTTTCCTAATGAAGGGGGATAAAATTAATTGGTTGCTTTTAATATAATCCTCCCTGACTCTCATTATCTGGAGTTCCTCATCACTAATAAAAAGGCCAAAAAAGAATTATGCCTGTTTTGAATATCAAAGCAATTCTCTACCTGCATTTCTTCTTCCGCCCATATGATACATTACTATGCAATGCCAAGAAATATTGTCATATAGCATCAAATTTATAGTGAATGAAAACAACGCAAAGGAGTTCATTGCTGTCTTTCTACCTTTGTATAGCTTTTCAAATTAAGAATTTAGCTGAACAACATTTAAAGAATCATTTGTGGTAAAACAGTTATTAATGAATAAACGCTTTTAAATTTTGCTGTAGAATAATAATTTTGATAAAAAGAAAGCTGCTATTCTAACTTCTAAACACAAAAATCTTTATAATGTAGTTATTGGTTTTGTATTAAAACTAGAAACTTCATGAATAAATGTCATTATATGTATGTCACATATTGTTTTGCTGATCCTTATCAATGATTTAAAAGTGCACATATAGTGTCATAATATTCTTATGTATGTTTACTTTTTTATTGTTGAGTGCAAATATATTTTTACAGCTTAAGAAGGGTGTAATTTCTAAAAGTTAGATGTGTTTGTTATATCTTAATTCATAGTTTTTCCTCCTTCAGTGCTGTGCTCTGTTTTGATGCTTGGATTGTTTTTAATTCTAGTTTTTGCCATTTAGGAGGGAGAAATGCCACTAAATGAAGTTCTTGCAATGTATGGTTATGAATCTGGTGTTGAGTATGAAGACACAATTCATGAAGTTCCTGACCAAGACAGTGACTCATCACTTATTGACTCTCCAGAGCAGACAATGGAAAATCCAGAGTCTCCCCGTGTTTTGTCAAGTCAGGGTATTCCTTCTCAGGCCTCTGATAGCTCTCCAGCTGATGAACATAAAGTTGATGAAGTGATTGACCTTGTATTTCGAGATACACCTGATGTTCCTTTGGGTTCTTCAAGACCACTTTTAAGATGTAAATCAGAGTTTTTGAGTTTTATTTTGTATTAACTGAATGTCTGTTAATATTTACATTATATATTGCATGGTGCATTAAATTACCATAGGAAAACTAAGAAATAAATATCCATAAATTCAGTATCTCATGACACCTGAAACACACAGTTTTCTTTTATGTGTTTGTGTGTGTGTGTAAAATTGTATTGATAACATTGTATTGATTTTTGTGGCAAAAGTGGAAAATTATTTTTATGTTACTTTAACCTGAAGCCATTTAATCTTCTAGAGCTTGAGACCCAACATTTAAAACATGTATATTTTCCTGTGTGATTATTTTGAATTTGTGTGAAGTCATATAAAAATATACTTGAAATTATTCATAATTTTTTTCTTTTGTTCATGCTATTCATCTAACTTAATAAATATTTAAAGAAATGATGGTAGTGCTTCAAATAATAAAATTAATTCAATTATTAAACTGATGACAATACAACTAATCATGGAATCAATAAATATACAGCTGTGTAAGGAAATAGAGATTAATTAGCATCATCTAATATAAAATAGACTGCATTTTTTTAAATATTCAAAATTGTTGAGTTTTGAGTAAATTTCCCGAAGTTATGCAATTCTTTTATGCCATTCCTACCTATAATGTAAGCATTGAAACATTATTCTTTTTAATTCAAATGCATATGTCTAAGAAGATAAATCATTTGTTGGTGTTATTGAAAAGTATTAGCTGTAGCTGTAGTGTTTATACTTTTCTGTCAGGGTGTTATTTCGAAGCAAATTAGATTAGTTAGGAATGTTCATGAATTGCACGTTGACTGCCCAACATGAGATAACTTGTATTAGTGCTCTTCTTCAGGACACCGAAGATGAGTTATGTTGTAGTTTCTTGACTTGTCACTTTTGCCCCGCTATGAGTTAGTTCGTAGTTAATAAGGGTAAATAAGAATGGATGGTCTCCTGGAAGAAAATAAATACATTATCACTGCACTCACTTGAATCATCAGAAGATACAAGGCTTGATCAAACGAAAAGGTACGAAATGACGTAAAAACGTAACAGTTAAATATTTGCATATTCCACCATGGGAGAATGTAGCGATACACCTCAGGATGCGATTGCAGTCTCTGACTGGGATCGGAGCATGCGTGGGCGTCTGCATGTGCAGGAGAGAACAGAAGCTCTTATCAAAAGCGGCGTCCAAATGATGCGGCAGTCCATATGAGGACAGGATGGCGTTCGCACTGCAAATTCGACGACTGAGGAGCGGCGAGGTGTTATCCAATTTCTGACAGCGGAAGGGGAGAAACTGGCAGCCATTCATTGCCGGATGGTGGCAGTTTACGGGGAGAAATGTGTGTCTGACAAGTCTGTCAGAAAATGGAGTACCCATTTTTGTGCAGACCGTGAGAGGGTGGGTGATGACCCGAGATCAGGCCAGGCAAACACTGTCATCACGAGCGTTCTGATTGACAAGGTCGACGACCTAGTGAGAAGTGATTGGCATGTCACATTGCGAATGTTGGCAGTGAAGGTGGATGTCAGCTATGGAACCGTGTAGACAATTGTACACGACAGGTTGGGATATCGGAAGGTGTGTGCCTCTTAGGTTCCGAAGCAGCTCACGGACCAGCAAAAGGAACTGCGTATGGGGCTAGCACTGCAACCTTTGTTTCGGTATCAGGTAGACCCCGCTTTCATGGAGCGGATTGTCACAGGTGATGAGACCTGGTGCCATCACTACGAGCCAGAGACAAAGCAGGACAGCATACAGTGAAAGCATGCGTCGTTACCTTCCCCTAAAAAGTTCAAAGCCGTGCCGTCAGCAGGTAAGGTGTTGCTCATCGTCTTTTTCAAGGTCCGCTACTTGTGCAATTCCTTGAGCACAAAAAAACATTAACTCCGATGTGTACTGTGAGACACGCCGACGCCTACACAGGTCCATCAAGAACAAAAGACCGGGGCTGCTCACGGGGTGTGTGGTTCTGCTCCATGATAACATGCATCCGCACATCTCCACATGGAACTCGCCAAATCCAAGTGGGAGACATTGGACCATCCATTCTACAGTCCGGACATGTCGCCCTGCGATTTCCATGTGTTTTGTCCACTGAAGAAACACCTGAAAGGGAAGCACTTCAACTCGGATAACTTACTCAAGGATGCTGTGAAGGACTGGGTCTCGTCATGGCCACAGGAATTCTGGGAACGAGGAATCCTGCGGCTTGTTCATCAGTGGGATTGTTGTGCTCGGGCCTATGGTGGATATTTTGAATAAAGTCTACATTTGTACCCACCATGTCATTTCGTACCTTTTCATTTGATCACCCCTTGTACGTAATCGCTACTGTTCTTATCATCTCCAACAAAAAATTCGTCAGATCCTGACTCACTTAGATTAGCAAAATGTTCAAGTTTGGCTACGGTAAGTGGTCTTTTCCTTTCCATATTTTAGTATTTATTATTTTATTGTAAACAAATAGACACAAAAATATTTAAAATTGGCAAAAATGTAATGTTTTCTATTCAAGATAATGACATAACAGTGAACAACTTACTCACTTAGTGCTTGTTTTAGCTGTACCAAAGCGACAAGTGGAAGCATGTCTGTAAAAATCAACTTGCAGTGGGCTTCTGCAAAGAGCTTTGTCTAACAAAAGCCAACTACGAGTTAATTCATAGGACCCTTTTTTCTAAATAAATAAATAAATTCCTGTAAACTTTTTTAATGATTGTTATGAATCATAATTAATATTTTTAATAATATAATATGATTAAATTGATTTGGCTTCTCGGACCCGAATCCGAAAAGTGCTGTGGCAGTCAACGTCTTAAATGACGTAAGTTATCCTATGTTGAAACATGGGACTGAAAGTTGATTAGATAAGTGAGGTTCATTATTATACTTCATATGTATTTCTCTTATGTGTATTGAAATTATGATTTTTAGGAAATAGGTCTAAAAATTTGGCTGTATTATTCTGATTATGAGTTTTAGGAAATAGGTATAAAAATTTGTCTGATATTAATTGTTTGAAATTTTTTGACTTTGTTGTCTGAATTTATATCTGGCAGATTTATTTAGGTTTTTTAAGGTCTGATAAGTATGACAATTTTTATGTTTCAAGACTGTACTGTGCTCATTTTGCATTACAAGATATAGGATGAACCTGATGATAAAATATGTTAGGAACTTATGGGCATGACTGTTAATTTCTAAATTTTCTAACAATTCCACCGAAGGAAAGAATTTTGCCATATATATATATATATATATATACACGAGTGCTAAGGCTGAGTGTAATTAAAAAAACTTTGGAAAGAACTTATGCTTTTCCATCTCGTTTTTTGTAATATAGGCACTGGACTATTAAAAAATATCTGACAAAAGTGTAGAGATAAGTAGAGGAGAGCTAAGCAGATTTTAAAATGAATTCTATGTTCAGGAATGGTACATTGAGGATGTACAAAGGAGCTGTTGACTGATTGGTTAAATTGGCTTGAAAAATCAGTACTTGGTGGGTCCTGTAATTCAAAACCAAGTTTTGCAGCGGGCTGCATCAGCAAAGGGAATGAATTTTCACGCTAGGAAACTGCCTTCGCCTTCTGCTTAGCAGCACAGTGTAGCACCTCAGTGTTCCACTGCTGTGTGCATTTTCCAATACAAGATATGCTTATTTTGATCCACTCTACCTGACTTTACATATTTGACAGGTTTGTTTAAATCACTCTATTCATTGTGTTTCTGAATTTGAGTGACAAATTCAGAGGGTTGATAATGAACATCAAGAGGATGAAAAATTACCATACATCATGGGGTCCCAAACCACATTTAATGGGTGAAAATCACAAAAATATATGTTAAGAGGACAGTGAGCCTGACGAAGGGAGTGACCAAACAAATGTGAGGATTAGAAACACTGCGGTCAAGAAAAAACCTTTTATATCAGATGTCTGTGGATACAGTAGAGGATCTGACAGCACAGATTGTTGTTTCAGCAGACATCGCCAGCACACCAGGTATGTTTGAACATGTCGGTCCATCAGTGTCTACTGTGCAATGACCTTCTTGGGCGCAACTTTCAACTATTCCTATAAAACTCTCTCGTCTCCTTTCAGAAGTTGAACTGTGATGCATTGTAATCTTGCTTTACGTTAAATAAAAGTTTTCCCACTTATTATCGGCCCTTTTTATTCCATTTGATATCACACCCTTCATACTCTTTTAATGATTTTCTCCGCTTAATAGTGGTTTGCTATCCCATGTTCTATGGTAAATTTCATTCTCTTGATGTCTACTATCACCTATATATATATACTGGCCACTACCCTGGCTATATATATATACTCGCACACACTATTATGTACATACATACTGGCTAGCACTGGTCGTTAAATTGCTCCCCCAGGAAGGAAAGCAGATAACGGAACCTTATTTATTGTACATGTACTGTATGATTAGAAGGTATTATCATATCTGCAGGTGGTTTCCACAGTGTGCAAAATTCAGTACACAGAGCTGTCACCTCTGGCAGCAACAATGGCTGTAGTCCGGCTTGGCATCAAGTCAAAATGAGCTGGAAGACAGATACAAGTACTTCAATCTACATGGCTTCAGATACAGGTACTTCATTCCACGTGACTTCGAATCTTTGCCAGATTTCTGCAATCCTAGTGGCTGGCAAAATTGATGTCAGGCCAGTCGTCATACATGTAATCACTAATGGCACATCTGTGTCTAATGTGCTGTCAAGGGAAGCTACAGCAATGGTTGCTGCACTGATAGTTCATTGTGCTGCAGGTGTCATATTGTCTGTGCAGGCGCTTCTCCTGCACACGAGCCAACTGCAAGCTTGAGAGAACATGTCTGTCCTCTCAGGCCCATGGCTGCTGATATCCTGCATAGCATTCACTATGAATCTTCTGGATGTATTTTTTTCATATTCTCCTGACAGTTATAGGATCTTGACCAGCACGAGCAACAATATCAAGAAATAAACTGCA